GGGAGGGGCGGGGAGCGCCGGCTACGGCCCCGCCCAGCGCCCGGGGGCGGGGTTCTGCACGTTCAAGTAGGGCGGGCTGTGGGCGCGGAGCTGCGGGAGGGTCTGCTGCTCTCGCGCAGACGCTTATCCTTTCCTCTGCAGTTCGCAGCTCCGGCGGCAGCTGACTTACCTACCCCACATTCGCTTCTCTTTCCCTTCACCCCTTCTCTTGGGGGGGTGCCCAGTCCCGCCGGCGGAAACCCCGCTTTTCCGGGGCGCGGCCCCGGCCCCGGCTAGGAGGGGAGACTGCAGCGGGGACCGAGCTTCGTGCGCAGTCTGCCTAACTGGGACAAGAGCCAAACTGCCGCCGGCCGCGCGCAACGTGGAAACCTCTGGTCCACCACCCCGACCTGGCTTTGCACCCTCTCGACTTTTCAGCTACTAGCAAAGGGAGTGGCCAGTTGTTAGGAACCAAGTGACCTGTGAGCAGCAATCCCTGGAAGCCTTGACGTTACCGCCCTAAGGGAAGGCAGGGGCTCCAGGACCTAAGGACTAAAAAAAAAGCCCCCTCAAAAGGGTGAATTAAGTCAAGCCCTGGCCAGGTCCAGAGTGCTTCAGTGTTTTCTGAATTTCTAGAATTCTATCCTTCCCAGGCCTAGCTCAGCTTCCACCTTCTCTGTTGGACTCTCCATTTCCCCTTCCCAAAACAATCTTGAAACCTCTAGCACTGTGACACTTCCCTTAGTTACTAACAGACAGTTCGACAATCGTGCCTGACTTCTGGCCCAGCACTCGGGCAAATGCCTGTAGGATCCAGTGGGCCAAGCCAGACTAGACTTTTAGGACAGAGGAACCTGAAGAAAGCATGTACCCATACCCTACAAACACACACATACATCCTAGCACTAGTGTTGTTTGAATCGGGGGCTCACAGGAACCCAGGAGTGTTAAGATTTTGAACTATGTTCTCTCACAGTTAAGACTCGGACTTTCTGCTACAAGGTCAACTATGAAAGCCTGACCTGGCCTACTTCCTAACCCCACTGTTCTCTGGCCCAGCCAGGGCACTAAGCTGGCTATTTTTACTCCCCAAGGACAAAATAGCAAGGACAAATCAGACCTGAGGTACTTCTCCAGAGTGTTTCTACACAAAGAGGAGGTGGGGTGGTAAATCACCCACAATTTCAGCTTTAGCTTCACAAAGTCTCAGCTGTAACATCTGACCCAAGTACGTGCCTGGGTCACTGGGACAGCCCAGTGGTTGTAAGAAGATGCTATTCTAAGATTGCAGAAAGGGCTAAAGAGAGATGAGGGAGGATCCATAGTGTTACATAGTCGTCTCTTTCCTTGGGAAGCAGCTTTATTTACAAAACAAGTCTAAAATAAGAACATGAAATGACAAGCCCTTGAGAGCTGCAGGAGAGCTCACTCTTAGGGGACTCATATATGAAGCCCAGGCATCCAGATAAAGGGCTTAAAAGAAGGTCAGCTGTGTAAGAGGGACCTAAAACTTGAACTCCTTGTACTTCTTGCTGCCCCCACGGCTGTCCTGGGGCTGAGCTTTCCGTTTCTTTTGCTGTAAGAGAGAGGAAAAATAGTTTATAACAAGTTAAACAACTCTAACCCCCAAAACAAGGGGAGCAGCCTGGCACAGACATAAGAGTCATGGAAAAGCACTTGAGTCTAGATTCTATTCCCACCTTCTTCTAAAACTTGGGTAAATTCTTTCCTGGTGCCTCATTGTAAGGAAGCCAGCCAGCCACTAGGGCGGCAGGCATTGACTGCACCTTTATTCTCACCACTAGAGGGCACAACTGCACTGGAAAAGGTGGCCCCTGCTTCCAGCTCAATCCCAGCCCTAAGAGCTCCCACCTTCTGTTTGGCAGCATGCTCAGCCACCATGTCGCTGAAGTCTTCCTTCTCCACTTGTGCCTGCTGCTCCCGCACATGCTCCTCATACTTCTGGGTCATGGCCATTGGATCTAATTCCAACTCCTCGGGAGCCAGGGCTACTTCCACACCTTGCAGCTCTGGGGCTGGACCCTTCCGGCTCATAACCTAGAAGAGATCAGGGTCTTGTCACCTCCAAAAAAGTCTCAGAAGCCTTAGCTCCACCCCATCCTCGAGTTACCCAAAGCTGTTTCCTCCAAGTGCTTACCGTGGACATGTCATAAATGTGGGTCGATCCCATCATGGCTCCCCCAACAGTAGCTGTTCTCTTCTCTGGTAATACAGTGAACAGCTGAGGTGTCTCACTTCTGCAAAGGACAATGGGGTCAAGCTAAAATGGAGAAAAGGGGCCTTTGGGGGGAGCAAAACAAACACAGGTGGCGCCTCCACCCAGGTTCCTTGGGGAATTTGTCCCTACCTGGGGTTGCAGCCTCTGCCCCTTCCCCAAAAGAGACAATTACACACATGTGTAAATACCGAATAGTTTCCCTGGTGTGAATAATCTGCAATAATACATAAGATCCTAATAAGATCACTGATATTTAGAAATGGGAAGAAAGGAGCTAAAGGTGTAGGGAAGGTGGGATGGGTAGGGGAAGGGTAAAAAGGGAAAAGAAAAAAATGTGAGATAATGAAAAGATGAAAATAAAGTATTTGTAGATCAGGAGGGGAGGAGGGGGTGAAGGGAGGGCAGGGGTAAGGGGAAAAAATGAGAATCAAGACTTGTCATGTAGAGGTACAAAATCCCAACAATGAATGTAACTGTACTGTATCCCTAAAATGTACCAATAAACTCAATTAAAGCTGAAAAAAAAAGAGACAATTACATTAAAACATTACTATAATTGCTTTTGTTTTTTTGTTTTGTTTTCTGAGATAAGGTCTCACTACGTAGCCCAGGCTGGCCTCAAACTTTCTACCTCAGCCTCCCGAGGGTTGGGATTACAGGGGTGCACCACCACACCCGACATTTTTAAAATGTTATAATGGCATTCTATATGTTCGAAAAGATAAGAAAAATAGAATACATTTTTAAAAGACCCAAATCAAACTTTGAGAGATGAAAACTACTTTGGATATATTAATGTCAGAATAGAAATTGCAGAAGGAAATAATAGCAAACACGAAAAAAGTTGGCAATACATTTGGAAATAAAAGTGTTAAGAGAAATCTCTCAAAAATGAGGGCCAGGGATTTAGTTCAGTGGTGCTGCTGCCTGCGTCACAAGCACAAAGACCCAAGTTCAATCCCCAATACCAAAAATGAACAGAAGCCTGGTGGCACATACCTATAATCCCAGCACATGGAGGCTGAGGCAAGAGGGCTGCCATGAATTCAAGGCCACCTTGGGCTACATAGTGAGACCCTGTCTCAAAAAAACCCAAACAACAAAAACAAAAAAACCCACAAAGAGATCAATGAACATTATGTTCTAATTGTTCAGAACCAGAGATAAACAGAAAATCTCAAAAGCCAGAGAAAAATGACATATTATACACAAAAGAACAAAGGCAAGCATGCAAGCACAAGATCCCAAGTTTGATCCAGGGTACAAAAACAAACAAACAAAAAACAAGAAAGGTAAGCATGACAGATTTCTTGTGAGAACTTCAAGAGACTCAACAGATGTTCAACCGGAGTTCCTAAAGGAGAGGAGAAGCAAGGCGTGTGGTACACACCTGTAATCCCAGAATTCTGAGAGGTTAAGGAAGGACTGCAAATTTAAACTCAGCCTGGGCAACTCAGTGAGACTGTCTCAAAATAAAAAATAGAAAAATGGCTGGGGATGTAACTCAGTGCAAAGACCCTGGTTCAATTCACAATAATGAGAGAAAGAAAAGGAAGGAGGAAATAGAAAAATGGGGAAAGGGGGGTGTTTGGAAAAATAATGGCCACCTATTTTATAAAATAAAAACTATAAACCCACAGTTCCAAGATGCCCTACAAATCCCAAGCAAAGAAACATGAAGAAATCCACACCAAGGAGCATCATGTTCAAATTGTTCAGAACCAAAGATAAACAGAAAATATCAGAAGTAGACAGAGAAAAATGACACATATACAAAAAAACAAAGATGACAGCAGATTTCTTGTGAGAAACAATGCAAAAAAAAAAAAAAAAAAAAAAAAACAAAAAAAA